GATTTGACATACTTAAATGTAGTTTTGATATAGCTAAAGAAAGCATGATTTTTTTTCTTAAAACCTTTGCCTGTCTTAGATGCCWAAATAACAGTTAGATTTCAAAGATCGTCAGATTCTTTTTGTCAGATAGCTTTTTGTACTGAAATTTGGAAAGCCTTTAGCTTGCGCACAAGGATGAAATGAGAGTAGGCCTCTCTGCTGGCTTTTTGCCACTGATGATCATTGGTCAGTGTTGGAGTAATAAAATAATTTAATTCTGGACATTGATTCAAATCTTAGTTCAGATACTGGCATCCTTCTCTGTCCACATCAGCTCATGAAGGTCTGGTGAGCTAAACTTCATAAGCAAACATAATATGGAAAGTGTCTGTTGAAGAGCAGTGCAATTATAGCATGTTGCTGTTTTTAAGTGCTATCCTTCTTGGCTTGAGTTGCTTATTGGTAGTGAAGTTCTTAGCCTTTAGACTGTGCTGTTAAATCCAAGACATTGAGTCAGAAGGCACTTTGCTGCCATTTGCTTCATATGCAAGGCACTCTAGTAGCTCTTTCATGAGAAGATGGGAATGAGGAGGGACTAGACTGTCATGCTTAAATTCTTGTGCTTGAAGAAAATCTTCACTGATGATTCATATGATGTAACACTCATATGGAAGGGCAGGATCCCCCCATATAATGAATGYAATTTCTTTTCAGAAGCAGCTCACTTGTAGTGTCTGAGCAGTAAATGTGTGTTTTGCCAGTGGGGCTTTTTATAGAAGAGTATAATGCTCAGTGGGAATGGAGGTGAACAGTCAGTCTGTGTTATTGAAAATCTGTACAGCACCAGTGTCTTGGAAGCAAGGAATATTTTGTTAGTGCAGGAGAGAAACAGCAGCGTTTTTGGCAATGCTGTTGTGAAGCATCTTGCTTGTATACTGTTCATTTGTCCTTTGCATCTACTGCTAGGAGGGAGCAGGAAGAGAGTTTCTGTCCRGATATCTCTGGAGCCTTTCTTTTGTTCTGTTCTGTCCAGAGAGCAAATCTGAGGTTGTCGGGAGGCAACTGATCAGAGAGGCAGATTAAGATTAGAAAGCGTATTAGAAAATGTTCTGTGTACTCTGTTAATTTATTTTGATAATCGCCTAAAATGCAACTGAAATGCTATAATTTGTGTAGATGGAAATGTATGTTAAGTTCATACAGTAAGCAAAGTCTCAAATATTCTGCCCTCCTAGTGGGATGAAAACAATCTCTTTATGGAATGGTTTATAAGGTTGTCTTGGTAGAATTGTCTACCTTACCACATTTTTAAACCTTAAATATGTAACCCTTTTAGCGGAGTTTCTAATTGAGCCRTTATAGGTACAGACCACAGAAGCTGAAGAGCAACTTTAGCAAAGTGTTAGACATTATAGCTCTAAATGATTTTTTTTTATTTCACGGAGAAGTTGACAGTTCAGAGCAGAGGTACAGTTGGTCATGAGGCACAACTTCGGTAGGTTGTAGTTAGCATGAGGAAAGCACTYTTTACTGCAGGGAATATCTGCCCTGTCGCTTAGCTTGGGAGTCTGGTTAATGCTTCGCTCACGGGTATCTCTGCAGTGCTGTTTAGCATTGCAGAGGCACAGCAGAAAGTTGGGAGCTGCATGCATTTCTGCTCCCCTTTTCCTCCTTCAATCTTCCCTTATACTGGAATCAGCAGCTCTCCAATTATCTGTTTATCTGTTAAGTCTGTTTTGGAAAAAGTGTCTTCCGCAAGATTAATAAAGGCATAGATCAAGATGTCCTCTTTTTATTGCTTTAAAAGCTGGTTTGGGGAAGGAGCACTGGTATTGAGAGATGGGGTAGGAAAATACTCATTAGAGCACTCCACCAGGGTCTGAGGCCAGCAGCAACTTTGAGCCAGTGAATCTCTCGAAGCAGTAGTGTTGAATCGCTCAGAAGGGGTCCGCTCTGATCTCTGTTCAGTAGACCAGATGCTGGCAGATTATTTGCCGAAGTGCATATAGTGTAAGAAATGGGCTCAGRTCACTGAAGACTCACAGGACATTGTCCAGTCAGTCAAACTGCAGATGCTCGGTTATCTTTGTCCCCTAATCCATACAAGGGGGCATTCCCACCGACAGGCTCCTGCTGCAGTATTTCTGCATTGCTACAGTTAATAAAATACTACAGTATAATATGAAGTCCTGGCAAGGCCAGTGGTTTTTGCTCTACCTCAGGAATGTAGCAACTGAACTGGGATATGAATGTACAGTGCATGTACTTCAGAAGGATGTTATATATGTCTCTACAGATACAAGCAGAGAAGGAATCCTAAGTATTATCCAGTCCATTATTATTTTCAAGAACTGGCATTTCTCCTTGTGGAGATCTATAAGGAAGGTTAAGTGGCCTGTCTGTCAGAATAACCGTTATATCTCCCATTCCCAACCCCATCCTCATCTCTGCTTCTACCCAGGTTCCTGGTCACAGATAAGTGACTGCAGTTTGGGAAGACAGGTAACAGAATAGGAATCACTTCTGCATAAAGAAATGCGTGTTGGAATAAGCTGCTTATGGCAAATTCCTTCTAAAATACTCCAACTGTAACGGAAAGAAACACTATATTGGTAATATCATAATGTTTGCATTCATACACCAGCTGTTATTCTTTCCCATAGGGTCTTGTGTTTAAAGGCTGGCAAAGGACATACTGACTAAATAACAGATCTCGTTTTATTTTCTGTATCTGCCGTATGTATTTTTTCCTTTTGGATCTTGATTTTTCCTTTATTGTGATGCTGCAGTGTATATGCTAGCGCAAAATGGAATATTTTTGACAGGCTGACAGTAAAAATATGGTAGATCTTGTAATTTAAAGCAGTTCATACTTCCATTATGGATTTTTAGGTTATTGGTTTTTTAACATTATGTATGACTGAGTGAATAATTGGCACACTAAATTTATGAATGGCTATTAATGAATAAACTTCCTCTTACGGTAACAACAAAGCTATTTCTCAATTAGAAAGGCTGATAGACTTCTGATCTCTAATAAATTGACTGCGTATCGCACAGAAGGGAAAAACATCGCTTGGAGTTGGTGCTGAATAGACTTATTGCATTGTTTCTTTATGAAAAATGATTACGGTTCATAGAATAGTTTGCTTTTRACATCTCCAAATAATTGAATTTTCAAGCAATTTTGAAAAAGCTTTGTGTATTTTAAGATCCAAACTTTCAGAAATACAATATGGCATATATGTTATATATAAAATGTGGCATATGTTATATAAAATATGTACTATTTATGTGTATATATGTGTGCACAGATATATATAACAGTATAAACCTTAGAACTTGAAGGTTATAATTCATCGAGGTTTTGAATGCTCAGGACTCTGATGTGCTTAGAGTGTGTAGGTCATGACGTGTGATACATGAGTACCTTTTTGAACACGTTAGGCAAGATAGGTGTGCATCAATTTCARTTGTTTAGGCAGTTGATAGAAAAGCCTGACAGGCTTTTAAATCCCAGGGCCATAGGACACTCTGGTCTGGAGAGGCTCCTTTTCATTTTCTTGCCATCCATTTATTTCTGGACAACGTTCCAGAGTGCTTGTGGTGGTATGAAGGGATTCACTATTGACTTTTATTTCTCTCCTTGCTAAATTAAAGGGCTTATTTTGCACACATATGCTTCCTTTTAGTCTGTCACACTATAACATGCAGTGCTGCTCTGTGTTGTGGCTGAGTAAGACTTGAAAGGGTGAGTTTGAAATACTCAAATGTTGCTCAGTGCTTGAATTTTGGTGATTTTTACTTATTTCCAGAACTTTTCTTTCTTCTCCTAACAAATAGTGTGTGTTAAGTGTGTTCATTTGATCCTGCAATCTTGGTGTCTTTGCTTCTGTTGAATTACAGAAAGAGGAAGTGGAGATGGCCCAGGTCTCAGGCTTGGAAAGGCAAGCGCTTGTAAGGAAAATAAAACTAGCTAGAATAGTTTTGCTAGTGTCAGCAAGAATGTTACTGTGTTTTGTAAAATAAGAAGTATTTCTCTGGTAATGTATGATGTATATGTAAATAGTATCCTTTCTTTCATCTTAAACTGTAAGATGGGACTTGGAGATGTAGGGGAATCCATGCATCAGAGATGATCTGTCTAAGAGCCCTTCAGCTTTTTTTCTTTTTTTCTTTAAATTGCATGTATCTTATCTGTCACTACTTCAGATTTCATTATTCACGGAGATAGAGAAGAGCTTCTGCTTTACACCTCTTGATATTTTGTTTGTCTATCTAATTGAAGCATTTGAAGGAGATGTGGAGAAGAAACACTTCTAGATTAAAAAGTTCTTTCTCTTTCCTTAGCCCTTAATGAAAAAAAATGAATGCGTCTAACAAGGACTCAAAATATAACTAATAAATATTGGATATAAATGCAAAAACGGTCCTGCTGTCCCCTTTAATATTTGTTTAGGTTTAGCAAGCAAAAGGTTTTGCAAACTGCAGGAAAGAAAAAAGTTGTTAAGGAAGGTGCCTGTTCGTGCGTTTTCAGTGCCTGTAGACACAGCAAGCTGGTGTCATGGGCTGAACCCTCCTTGAAAAGGAAGCCTGCAATTTCTCAGGATAACAAAATTCGATAGCGGAGGCATCCCACAAAAATTTATCTTAACCTGCAGTCTGAGGATGGGGAGGGAGTGAGGAAGGGCTATTTACCCGGGTAAATTGAAGTGCAGCGTTCCCAGCTGCCGCTAGTTGTCACTTTGCAACCAGCCGAGGTCGGTGTTTTCAGCACTGCGGTTAGCAAGATTGCAGTGCTAATTAAACGGAGTAACTCCTAAAGCGGCGGAAAGTCCCGAGCCCGGGGCTCTGAGCTAGTCAGTCCCAGGCAACCAAGCAGAGATGAAAAGGCAGAAAGGTGGAACACGGCGGGTAACGCTGGAGCTAAATGTGCGATCTGTACCCCGAGTGGCCAGGCTGCTCCCGCCAGGCAGTGCCCGCTGCACGCGCACTGCTCCCGCAAACACGAGCCTTACCTGAAGAAAACGATCGTCTCCCACACGTAGACTCCGAGCGCGTTGACGTTGCACATTTTTCCAGCTCTCTCCTCTTTTTGTACTCCGCAAGGGATGGGCCGCTGGGGCTGGCCAATAAAGTGAACGGCACTTGGGGAGCCAGGGGAAGGGAAGCGAGGCGCCCTTCTCGGGGGCGACCGGGCAGCGCCGCGGCGGGCGCCCCCGCTCAGCGCCCCGGGCAGCGCCGCGGCAGACGCCCCCGCTCAGCACCCTGGACAGCGCCGGTGCGCGGCGCTCCGCGAGGCGGCTGGCGGCTCCGCTCCGCCGCGGCCGTGGCTCGTCCCTCCTCTCTCTGTGTCCCCGCCACTGCAGCAGTGCTCGCGGCCGGAGGGATCAGACTTCTCGCACTGAAATCTCYCCTCAGCGGGATCCTGATCCGGACATCAGGCTGGCGAGCGGGGCAGATGCAGGGGTTGTAGGTTTGCCATCAGGGTGACGGGAGGAGGAGGTGCAGGGACCCCTCAACAACCCAAGACTTTAATCTCTGCTTCCAGCCGCGACTCTTCCTAATTACATCCACAGGAATTTGCCAGTGTGGAGCCGTGCTGCAGTCCCTGTTGTGCTGCTTTTCTGCCCGCCGTTTGGCTGCTATTGATTCCTGCTTCCTGAGCTGTTTTCCTTCTGAATAAGTTATTGCTGCTGTAGGGAAGGTGTCCCATTGCTTACGGCTAAAGCAGAAGGGAGCAAAGGGGAAGTTTCTTGGGAAGCATTCCCATTGCGCTCAAAAAGAAAGTGGCTCTGTGTCCTCCTTATGCATTTGATTTCCCCTCTGCCCTCTCCCCTGCCAGGACTTGCCAGATCTTGGGAGTTTCTTGCTGCATTAATTTACTAAACTAAAAAAAAAAGGGGGGGGGAGGGGGAAGAGAGGAAAGGAGAGGGGAGGGGGATAACCCAGTCCCTCTGGCATCCCAAGGCCCTCCTCTTAGCTGTGCTCATTGGTCTCGGGGCTGAAAAAAGTGCTGGAGGACGTGGTTGGATAAAGGCATGTTGTACAGCAGAGGCTGTTAACCTTTAAAGCGCTGATACATTTTTGACTTATTTTAGTTTTTTTAACCCAAGTCACTGTCTTTTTAAGAAGTCTATGAAATCGTCTCCCTTGACACGGCAAGCCTAACATGCTTTAAGTCTCTATCTCTTGGAAGATTTGCTTAGCTAGCAGTTGCTGTGTGTGTTGCTGTTGCTTTATAAGGATTTTTTTAAAATTTATTTTGTTTTACTTTATTTTTTTTCCCGTTTGCTTTGCAAAGACATTTGGTAATCAGCAGAGCTATCAAGGCTGGAACAGGTAAGGAGCATTTAGCAGTTTCCTACTGCAGCCCCAGCATCTCACAGGGTGCTGCTGAGTGTGGAGGGCTCTGGGGAAGGGGTGTGCTCTACAGTCACAGTGTTAGCAGGGCTCTTTCACTCTGCTTGGATTTTGATTGATATCTGAGAATTGAAATAAAATGTAACTCTCAAGTCATCTGGGGTTTTTTTCTTCTCTCTTGTGACAGCGTAAGGGGATTTTTTTTACTTTAAGGTATATATTGTTTACTTGTTACCTGCTCTGTAAAACTGCTCCAGGACAAAGGAAGTCTTTAAACCTCTTTCTAGCTGCTTTTTATTCTGGAGAAGAGACTGCTTGCCCAACCACTGACTGCTGTAGCGCTCCCGACTAGCAATTAGACAAGCCTTTCTCATCAGTTAGAGCTATATCTTGGAAGACCTTACTGTGGTGCTGAAAGTGACCTGATGCTTTTGATCCTGTGCGTATTTGGTTTAAATCGGCATGCTTGTTTAGTGTAGTGATGGRACAGAGCTACTCTTTGGGTTGTGAGATTCAAAAGCAAAGGGGGAAAAAAGACCTGCTTGGCTCCTAACCATTTTAGGGAAGGAGATTAATCTGACTTACTGCATGTACTGAGTTTCAGTGTCTAGCTAGATTAATAATAGGCTTTGAGTTGAACCCGGGGTGACTTTCGGGGATGTGGCTCCAAGCAGGATGTACTGCTTGCTGGTTCCTCACTGTGCTTTCTGTCCTCGTAGTTATCCCCATGTGGATGAGCTACTGTCACTGCTTCCTCCCTCCCTGCTGATAGCCCCAAGGAAGAGCTCTGGGCTGGGAATGCTGTCAATATCTGCACAGCAGGAGGCATGCGGTGCTTCCATGCATTTATAGGTGAAATTGAGGTGCTGTTATCCCTCTAGTTCCCTTTGAAATGAACTTTGAGAGATGTCTCATGCAGTTTCTGCCTTGGTTTCCTGATGTTCCTCTTATCATAGAAATTTGGACTTGTTTCTTTATCTGCCTCTAGTCTCTTTGCATTGCCTTCTGTTTAGGGGAGTGGGGGGTGACTGTGCAAGTGATCAAGGAAGCAGGGGACTCTGTGCAACACAGTGACGCTTGAGAGTCACTCCTGCCGAAGTGACTCAAAACTGCCTTTCTGAAGGGAAGAATTTCCCTACTTTGCCTTTTCCTCTCCTGTTGATACTGATGCTGTAGTCCGTGATTTGCATGTGTTGGGGAGGTTTATCTGCTAGTGTTTGAAGGGCTTTTGTTACTGGGAAAGAATAAGAGCTCTGTTTGTTTTGTTTGGCATGTGGAGAAACTGAGTCAATGAAGTTTTGCAGCACTTGAACAGGTAGATTTAGGGATCAAATATGATCTTGATCAGAGAGTAAAACCAAAGCAGATTTGCATTTAAAGAGTGCAAGATTTGCATCTCCTTTCAGCAAAGCGCTAAAAGTACTTGAGCCTACTATGTTTGCTGTAATTGGGATCAGAATGTGTTCTGGATAAAAGCCTTGGGTCTGTTCCCCCTTTCTGACTGGGTTTATTCAGCTCTGGGCCAACTGGTGACAGGGTTTTTGTTGCCTCCTAATCCTGGTGCAGTGCCATGTGTGGTTCTTGAATGTGTGGCACYTTGTTCAGTGGTGGCTCAGTGTACCTGCAGTTCTCTTCCTTCAATTTAAGCTGGGTGATTCAGGAAAGAGCAGCAGCCAAATAGCAAGTAGTGAAACCCATCTGTGGGGAGGTGTCTGCTGCAATTACACGGACTGGCTCTGGGCAGTGCCTGATTTTGATCTGTTTCTGCCATCCCAAAAGGTAATGTCAGATAAAACTGGTCTGGGGAAGATCTACAGATGTCTGGAACTGAGTTTTCTCAACACTTAAACAAGTAAGTTTTGTCATCAGGAACTGGTTGGCAGTTTTATTGGGAAGAGTTTACTTGTCAGGTTTCTTATTTTTCTGTCAGACTCCAAAAGGTTTTGCTAGGCATTTATAATATATCTCCCTGGTGGCAGTTGTACAAATAGCAGAATTCAAGAAAAGTCATTGTAGTGTCAAATGAATCTCTTAAGTGTTAGAATTACCTGCTGTGCATTCACTTTTGTTGCTGTTTTTGCTAGTTTGACTCCATGTGGGCAGGTGTTGTCAGCTCAGTGTGGGAACTCGGTGTGTAAACTGAGCCTTGGAATCTTCTGCGTTATTTTTTTTCCCCCTATCTGTGCCTGGTTGATTCTTTTCATTAGTCTTCAGGGCATGTACAAGATATCACAGAGATGACTATTGTSGGGTCACTAGGGGAGGATGTAATGTCTTCTGGTAGCTCATTTAAGAGGACAGTATTTAAATCAAAATTTTCTGGAAATGATCAACATTTAAAATGTTGCAACCACCTGGCATCTAACTGATACAATAGCCAATAGATGCAACCAAATTCTGTGTAGCTTTAGCCTTTCCTCAATGCAATGAGTGTTTTTTGGGGCCCAGGATTTGGGCTGAGAAAGTTTTTTTTGTATGAGAGAGTCAATCTTGACTTTAACTTGCTATAGTAATCTCTTGACCTTCTCTTGATCTTCTCTGCATTTTTGGGGGCAGGAGTCCTTATTGAACTTTTCGGTTAGTACTGATGATTTTGGACTAATGTTTCAGTGCACTTGATGGCTTTCATGTTTCTTTTCGCTTGTTATTTAGTGTTTTAGGTAGTTAGACAACTGGCTTCCTGTTATTTCAGAGATAACTGGCTTCTCAAATGTATTTTCAATACATGATTGTAATCTTATGTCATGGATGGCTGTTTTGRAAATGGGCATTGTCATAAATAGGATATGATTGTAATCAAAAAAGGGCCATTTGGTGGCTGGTGGGATGAGAGTTGCAACTGTGAAGGAAGATGAGGACAGGGATCCAGTCTGTGGTTCATGGGCCTTATTAGGAGCCGCACCCAGGATGAAGAGACTCCAAAACTCTGTATGTTGCTGACAAAAAACAATCAAACAAGAACAGTTTGTTAAGCTGGAGAAAAACCTCAATCTCCTACTGTTGCAGAACCCTCCTTGTGGTTCTAATGAGCCAGGGAATATTTTTATAGCCACACATKCATGCATGCACAGAAGGTGTTAGTGCTATGTACAGTATGTGTGTTCCTGTAAAGTGTGTAGTGATCAGGTAGAGCAGCCTGCACAGAAATGCCTGGAACTCCATGTTCTCCTTTCTTCCCTCCAGAACTTGCAGGTGGCYATCTGAATTGTCCGTGCAGTGCATCTACATCTGCTGTCCTGTTTCTGCCAGTGTTCTCTCATGTAGGGCGTATATGCTGTACACTGAATAGCTTAAATGTGAAGATTTCTACCGAGTATCATTCTCTGCAGAAAGAGCAGATATGTAGGCTGTCCTTGACTTCACACTTGTTGGGAATGGATTTCCTCACCAGCAGATTAGGTGCTATATTGATTTCTCATAGGTGGAAATGCAGCCCCTCTCTGTGCTTGTAGATTCTTTGGCAAGTAGTGTTAAGTAGCTCTGCACCAGAATGAGTTCATGACAAATTCTATGTTTGTGGAAGGTCAGCTGAAGAGTTTACCGAGAGCAATTTTCAGGTCTTCTGGTGAGGGCTTTTCTTCCATGTGTCAGGTACTTGAATACCTGATGGAAGAGAAATTAAAATGAATGGCTGGTCATTTTTCCCCATAGCAGTGCTGATTTATTAATATTTTTTCAGTGTCTTTTATTTCATGTAATGACACTTGACTTGAGCTGTGAATAGTCTTGCTACATATCAT